GTGATAGTACTTTGTCCGCGTCCGACATCGAAGCGGTCACCGACGAAGACGTGCCAGCATCCCAAGCTAGCTCTCTAGCCACCAGCATGCTTCGTCGCTATCCAGGAACTAGCCAGGAGGAGCCTTCCATCCCTACCAACTTAGGCAAATCCAGTGCCATGTTGCAGACAAAATTATTCGGTCATGTGAAAAAGGCTGGTCTTGAGCGTCCTTCTGACCACATGAAGCGCAAGAGCAGCAATTCGCAGAGCAAACCTGTCTCCCCCAAGAAGGCGAGAGGGTCAAGTCCTCTCCATCTAAATGTTGCCGTCTAGCCTGCTTTCTCCTATGCAGCTCAAAAAAATTTTTCTTTCCTCCCCCGTACTTATGACTAAGCCTCGAGTTCAGTTTCGTTTCAGTTTCTCTTTTGATGAATGCCTGCGGCCTCCTTGACGATATCAGCTTATTGCTAATAATGACCTAATCAATATGACCTCTGCAATGACAACCTCAGATAACGAAGTTTGGTGATCTTGGAGTTATTTCTTATTTCTTTGCTTTTCTTTAGTGGTCAGTGGCTTTTTTGTTTTTATTTTTCTTTACTATCTGGAATGAGCCTCTCTTCCAGCAACTACTATGGCTTCTTCCAAAGGGCGAAGACGACTTCTGTATTTCTGCCATTGAACCGTGTAAAACGGAGATTTCTCTACTATTGGGCGTTTACTCTGGCCACAAACGATGTAACATAGCTTCAATCATCGTCGAAACACCATTATACTTCCTTGCCGTCCGTGAATCCTTTATTTTAACTCCTAGTTACAATTATTGTTATTATTATTTGCTTGTAGCTGCTTCAAATCAAGTAGATATCAAGATGCCGCGGCTTTAGCCTGATTAGGCGGAGCTAGGGCTAATTGGCTGACTCAGCATAAGCGAGTGCGGCTGACATAAGCATCACCACACCAAAAAAGTTTCCACCAAAAGTTGAAGAAAGAAGAACTTCGACTTTTTCCACCAAAGTCGAGACACGACCATCGACAATTCAACAACGGGCTCTCGACAACTTGATCACCGGCCGACACAATGGTACGTCCTCTCTTTGCTTCCTTTGTTTTGGACGTTGATATGCTGCGTGTGCTGTGCGCGGGCCGCGACGTAGGAGGAGTGAAAGTCGCAATTTGAGATGGTAGATGGTGGAAGCTGACCAGGCGATATTTCGAATATAGGCGATCAAGCACAACCAGGTTATCCCAAAGAACCGTGAGTTACCGTCCCTCTGAATGAGTACGAGCTGTGATGAAGAGAGAAGGGAGAAAATCAAATGGATGAAAAGGGCGTGACAAATAAGTGTTTTGAGGAAGAGGCGGCATTATGCAGACGACTGGGAAAGCGACTGGACGATATTGCAACACCATTTCTAATTCATGCTGTTTTGAACAGACTTCCACAAGGACTGGGACCGACGTGTCAGAGTACATTTCGACCAGGTATGATATATACGACAATGAATTGCGGGTTATAGAATGAGATGAACCGGGCCGGCCAACTAACAAACCTCCCTATTCAGCCTGGCCGGAAACACAGACGTCGTGAGGCTCGTCTCGCGAAGGCTGCCGCCCTTGCTCCTCGCCCAGTCGACAAGCTCCGCCCAATTGTCCGATGTCCCACCATTAAGTACAACAGCCGCGTCAGAGCTGGCCGTGGTTTCTCCCTCCAAGAGTTGAAGGTCCGTCTATTTTCTCCCCACATTTTGCCGCAATCAACAAGTAAGAATATCATATCTAATCCATTCTACAGGAGGCTGGTATCCCACGCAAGCTTGCTTCAACCATCGGTATCACCGTTGACCACCGCCGTGGCAATGTCTCCGCTGAATCCCTCTCCGTCAATGTCGCCCGCCTAAAGGCATACAAGGCCCGTTTGATCCTCTTCCCCCGCAAGAGCGGTCAGTTCAAGAAGCTCGACTCCTCTGCCGAAGAGATCAAGGCCGCCAAGGAGGGTCTCGCTAAGAGCATCAACTCCATTCTCCCCGTCACCAATGCTGCTCGTGAGAACGCCATTTCTGAGATCAAGAAGTCCGATCTACCACAGGGAGAAGAGAACGCATACCGCAAAATGAGAATTGCCCGAAGTGACGCCAGACTTGTTGGTGTCAGAGCGAAGCGCGCAAAGGCCAAGGCTGAGGAGGCCGCTGCTGCAAAGAAATAAAATACCAGAAATAAAAGACATAAATAAATGGAAGTTCTTACGGTGTTACCCCCCTTTATTATGTTTTCAAGTCTTCTTTGCGCTCTTCCATTTTTATAATCCCCCATTCTCAGCCTCCTGTGTCATGAATAATGCGATATCATATGACCAAATTATCCGGGGTCCAATTCCTTGTCCAGGAGGTAATTTATTACATGTTCGGACCGCCTTTCTTCACTGAAAGGTATAAAAAAATGGGGAGAGTTAGCAGCCGGTGGAGTCATGCCGGCAATTCGTGGTTTGGCCGGATGGGCTTGTTTGTATGTGGCCATGATGTAGAACTGGAAACTAATTCTTATAAGGTTTTTACTTCAACCGACGTAGACGGACATGCGCCGTGTATAAAATGTGATGTTGTGGTGCAGTGGCTCCAAGTAGAGAATTGGACTGTCTCATTATTAAACACTTGCTCGCTTCAATTCTATAACTTCAAGCACGGCCCTATATTCAGTTGTGAATAATCTCAAACAAGCCCGAATAGAATAACAATTACAGCTTCAACAGCCTTGACCAGCGACCCTATATCAACATCAACATCGCCATTGTTCGCACGTTTAATCATCCCTTGGAATACACGCTTCGCCTCCTTTTCGATTTTGCTGGCTGCAGTACTCTTCAACGAGGAGCCAGATATGCAAATACTTGGTTCCAGTTGAGGCTCGCTAGTCCATAGATCAAGGGTCAAAGGGCAGGATACAAGCAACTCCAGCTTATTAGGTCCTGTTGAAGTAGAGAAGCAGTAGCTTGTTCTTTCGAAATGCTGTATTAAGTCTTTGATAGCATATTGATGCCCATCCATATCAGGTGTGGCGCTTCTAGATATATCTGCTTCTCCTTGTTTCCTATAAGCTTTCTTCGCTTGTTCCAGATATCCGGGGTTTTCTTTGAGCTTCTCGGATAGGGCCTGCAGTTTCACCCAGAATTTCGATCGTGATATTGCAGCCTCCCAGTACCGGCATATACCCCAACATAAACCGGATACATCGTGATCTAATAAGGAGTTTGACAGCCGAGAAGCGATCCAGCCTTCTAATGGCCCAGGGAGCTTAGAAGCGGTCTTGGAAATGGCGATAGAAAGCACGGATTGTTTTCCAGGATCGGTTTTAAGGGTGAGAGGAACCTGGTAAAGTGATGCTGGAAAACTGCCTGGTGGTTGAAGGGTGAAGTGGTATGTCTGCACTATATCTGAGGATACTCCCAGAGCTCGTGATGGGCTTCTCACAGTAGAAGTTACTGTTTCTGTTTTGAGGGTAAGAGGCGCGAAAACAGTAAGATACGGGATTGAATTCTCCGGCTGTTTCATGGCATAGGGGTTCTCAGGAAGCGGTGAGGGTGGTGGTTCAGGTTCCGACAGTGGTATTGACTGCTGGGCTGTGAAAGGGAGCAGATATGAAAGCATTGAAGACAACGGCGGAGGTGCAGGCGGTTTAGGGGGAGGAGGTGCACAAGATGGATTTTTAGACAGGAGAAGACCACTACGTAGTAAGAATTAGTATAACGGGAAACTTGATATGGCAATATACATAGCTGTGGGTCCGAAACATACATCAATCGTCTAAGAGAGCTTTCGTCCAAAGATTCGTGCTCGGTAATCTCTAATTGGCCAGTCTCCTCTTCCAGGAGCTCAACTTCTTCCTTTAACCTTTTCAATTGCTCCCTAAGAGAGTCCCTGACTTTCTTCTTTTCCCAAATTTCCTTTGGAAGGTCTTTATCAGATTCAATACCAATGCCTGGCCGTGACTCGGCAGCGCTCCGCTTGGGATCGGTAGCTTTAGTGTTTTTGTTCTTGAAAATAGGATATAATCCCTCTTTCTTAAGCTGCTGTTTCCTTTTCATGTTTGAACGCTGGCTTGGACTGCCATTGAAGTGCGTAATTGTCCCTCTTGGAGGAGGGTCTGCTTCAGGAGGAGAAAGAGATAGCCCTTGGCCAGCGTCATGGCTGCCCGTGGAGGAATTTGATGCAGATCCTCTATTCTCTCCAAGTGTATCTGGCGCCTTAACTCTAGATATCTCCCCGGGAAATGGTTGTTCCCCAAATGACCTTCGCCTAGAACCAGGCCTTGATATCGTGCTGTTAAGCCGGGGCAATCCGTCATCCTCCTCTGGCTCCGTATGAGATGCACCCGCATGTGGTCGTAAGGGTATGCTACCAGATATTTGCGGCGAGCTATCAATGTGTTCCCCAAAAGAGCTGAACTCCTGACCGGAAGACCTTTGCGCTTTCTCAGATGCTGACCGTTCTATGACCTTCGACAAAACGTCCGGATGGTATCGTGCGAGGCTCGATCGAGTAGGCGCTTGGAATGACTGGCGGCTCGGTGATCGCGAAGGGCTAGTACGCCCACGGCCATCTCTCCTTGTAGTATTTGACGCGCCAACAGGTATTGGGATGGAAGAGTTGGACTTGCGCCGTTTCGAGGGGGAGGGTAGCATTCGGGCGCGCGCGTTTGCATCTGGTCAGCTACCAAGATAAAAGGAGCAATCGCATATACGGTACTTCCAGATATTAGTTCGAGATAGAATATCAGAAGTAGAAGAAGAGGTGCTGTCTGCAATTGTCTTGCCTGTCTAGAAGCTCGTTAAGCTTGCATTTGCTTCTGCTTTCGAGCTTCCTCGGCATAAACAAAAAGAGACGCGATGAGAATAGCTGTTTGCACTGTTTGCACTGTTTGCACTGTTTGCAGCCGCATCCCACCGCTGGGTTGAATAACACCGAGAAGGTCTCTCTTTTGCCGTACAACTTCCAAGCCAACGACAACCATTCAAAGGAAAAGATGGGCTCTCTATTCCTCTCTGAGGGGGGAAGGATTCCATTTGGAGCAGCTATATGTTCCCGCTGCCTCCTAATACTATCAGCTGGAGGTTCTCAATTCAGGGCAATTCCACCTTCGAAGACTTATAAGCCGACCCAACAAGCAACCACACGGTATCAACATACAAATGCGAAGAACCAAGGAAGTTCTGGTGGGGAAATAGCGGATCAGATACACCCATTGAAGGGCTTTTACTCCGAGCTTCTTAACTCTCCGTCACAACCGTTAAACCCCAGCCGAACTCCTCAATCTCATGGTGCTACTGCTGCTGTAGCCGAAACAACACAATCAGAACCGAAAAGTGAACAAACACCGCAGGAAAAATTTGGAATAGTTTTTGGAACTCGACTCGCCGGACCAGGCTATTCCTCGACACGCTATAATCCTACTACTGCTCCCAAGTCGACCTGGCGTACGATCAATGGGGTACCCATACCGCCACGGCCAGAAGAACCCGATAATTGTTGCATGAGTGGATGTGTGCATTGCGTTTGGGATGATTATCGAGATGACGTCGAGGCTTGGGCACAGAGAATAAATGAAGCGAAGAAACGAGACACTCCTCGCAGAGGTTCAAAGAAGAAAAAACACCCGTTACCTGATATGAGGCAAAGCCCACGAAGCGAAGTTGACAGTGCAAGTACAAGCATGGATGACGATGGCGGTGGGAGCCAAGCTAGTTGGAATGTTGATATTTCCACCGAGGCGGATGCGGATGCATTGTTTGCTGACATTCCTGTTGGGATAAGAGAGTTCATGAAAACAGAGAAGAGATTAAAAGAAAAGCGCAAGAAAAATTAAGACAAAGCCTAGGTAAAACACGCATTCCAGTGCCGGATGCTGCGCGTGTTCATGGCTATGAGATTCTTGTATACTGTTATAACTAGAAGTTCTTCAAAAAGGACCTATCATACCCACTAGATATCCGTGTAAATAGATTAGACACGCTAAGATAATGAATCAAAGTAGAAAAAGGCTCCAATATGAATTTCTGGATAGAGCAACAGAATCTTCAACAACAGTTTGTAAATTCTATGGCTGTGGTTCTTGACGAACGTTGAATGAAGTGTACGGTAACATAATATCGTAAAGCTGTATCATATCAGGAGCTTTCCAAAACTATTAAAACATTGATTATATCATCATTTGGGAGGTTCATGACCTGCCTCACGCAGCAGATCCTCAAACATGTCACGAAGAGATTCCGGGAGTTCAGATGCAGCCTATCCATGTATGTTAGCTCATCCATGAGTGGCAATCAAGGAAGAAAAACTCACATTATTCCTCATTAAGCCATGAAGTAAGAACAGGGCATTTTCCCTATCCTTCGTCTTCTTCAAACGATCGGTCTTATCCTTGGCTGGCTCTCCGGGTTCTGGGCGTGAAATCGGGGTGTGTATAGTATCACATAGACTTTGGATAACACACATGCTCTCAAGGCAATCGATTACAGCCTGAGAGCCGGCTGGATGGGATGCTATTAAAGCAAGAGCAAACCAGCCTTCGCTCTGAACAATGGGCCACTCCGTTTGAGTTATCATGATACCAATAGGGCGTGCAACATCCTTATGCAAGTCAAATAACCGAGTAACCAACTCCTCAGTTCCAGGTGGTAGTTCAGAATTTTCCTTGAGTCGCATGAGCGTACGACAAATAGCTGCTATAGTACGTCCGATCTCTGTCTTTATAGGAGAAGAGTCTGTCTTACTAAACAAAGCAAGGAGCAGAGAGAGATAAGTACGGCGGCTGGCAGGTGAGTCGGAGTCCGAGGAAATCGGTTCCAACAAACGGGTTATATTGGTGACTGACGTTAGTATTGTTTGACGAGTCAAGCTTGCTGCCATAAGCTGTGCATGAGGCAACGTGTCGATTGCCCAGAGTCGAGAGACAGCTTTGATAACACCAGCCTCTCCAAGGCATTCACGGTTGTCTCCAGCTATTGCTAAATTTTTCAAAAATCCTAGAGAGCAGTGGAGAACAGTCGCCTTCGAGTCCTCACGCTGTAGCGTAGAGATCAATGGCAAGTGAACCTTAAAGTCATGTAGCATTGATTTGCAGACTTCATCGTCTCGAGCAACGTTACCAAGGATGATGCAACCACATATTTTGAGGTCATCCTTTTCACTGCTTAGCCATGAAATCAGGGTCCCAGTTACTGAGCAACGCAAAGGGTAATACTTTGGATATGCGGCAAGAGCGGAGATATCGGCCAGAGAATGATTGAGTTTGAGCCGCAGGGGTCCCATAAAGGAATCTTCGCCTTTAAAGGTATCCAGAAAAATTGAAAGGAGTTCTTCGACATGTCCATTTATAATGCTAAGTTGCTGGAACTTATCCTTCTGGAGGTATCCATTAAGGGCGTTCAATAAGCAACCGTATCCCTCTCCGTGAGACTCGGAGTTCGATACAGCATGTATTATAAGAGGCAGCAAGTCGTCGGGAGCGGTATCAATAGATTGGCCTAGTGTGATCAGTCGTGGCCTCGACATATAGGACATAAGGCATGACATACTTTGCTCACTCGCCATTTCCAGCAGCTCGTAAGTGACCCCTAATAATGCGCTGCCCTTGAGTTTCCCGGTTTCTAGGAGCTTTAGCAGGACGATTGAAATCCCATTTTGGGCGACTTGGGCTTGTGCAGGGACTTAAAAATTGTTAGCTGGGAAATAGGAAGAAATTAGATAGTAACTCACGTACCATAGTCGATGCAAATATTGTAGATAACTGGTATAGCAACATGAACTAAACTTAAATGAGTGATCCATTGTATTATTGGTAGGGTATAATTCATCTCTAGCACTCTCGCTCTATTTTCATCTGTGATTGGCAGTGTTAGCCTTGAACTGTTGGGGAGAAGGGGCAATGCTAGATATTTACCTGTGTCTGCGCATGAGTTACCAACAAATCTTAGTGAATGTAACAGGGTGTTCTCTTCAACCTCTTCGGTGGATATAATTCGAAGGAAGTAGTCCAAGATTCCACTTTGGCCGAAATAGGGTCTCCATTTTGCTAGATACCGTCAGTATATATAAACGGTCTCTAATCTTAACAAGGAAACTTACCATCCCGGCTTGCGTCTGCTAGCATCTCTGCAACCTCTGCCATGTAAGTAGAGTTACTCCTCCATAACATATCGATTTGAGATAGCACTGCCTCTAGCCCATCAAGGCTTGGGCTGCCGCTTCTCCGCTCCTTGTCTGCTAGTTCTAGAGAGCTTAAGAGGTTGTGTAGTTCTCCGGCGTCTCCTCCCTTGAATTTCGTGCGCAGAGAGCGAATCATATTCTCTTCTTCTTCTTGAGGCAACTTGGGTAGATCCTTAGTAGGTGCTGCAACAGGTGATTTTGGAGTTTGGTCATCCATCTTCTGCGCAGACTTGGGAGGGTATTTATCTAAATCTGACCCTGCTTCCTGCGCCGGGTTTACCGGTGGCCCAGCGGTGTTCTCCATGTTCTCATCCATGAGAGCTCAGCTTCTTCGCGTGGATGCCTAGTTATATCAATAACGGCGACCTAAGATGGGCCGCTTAAGGAATGGCCAATACGCAACGACGACGGGCCGGAGTTTGACAAGGGACTCTAGCCGCCTCCCAGGATGATTCAAGGCTTCAATGCTCTAAGATGACAGCTTCTCAGTCATGTGGATACAGTGAAAAACCTCGCAAGCGGCTAAGAATAGCTATTTAATCCAGGGTTCCAAAATCGAGAGTTGGTTAAATAAAAGCACTAGCAGACGGGTGCCTCCCAGTGGGGTTCTTCTATATAAGCTCCTCTATTCCAAGTGTATCTATTGGTGAGCAGTGGCCAGGGTGGCATTAGGCAAACGGACAAGCATCAGGCAGAAGTCGAGCAGGTGACCAAAAAGGATCCAACTCTTAAGCGCCTGCTCTCCGGTTGAGCTCGTTGGTGCCTGGCGAGAATGCGAGATGTTGCGACTTTCTAGATATTCAAGGCTCGAGCTCAGCGAGCTCAGCCGCCGTCAGGGGTGGTGGCTGCTTATGTAACCCGAGACGCTGGTCTTTTCTAGGGCTTTTCTCGGCTGCTGCCTGAGACGACATCCAACGGCCACAGCAGCGACTCGGGGCTGAAAGCAGTCACGAAGAGGACGGATGAGATATACCGCTTACAAATGGTAAATTACAAGCGGATACTACTTTGGGAGATGAGCCGGAATATGGTGATGTGGTTTGGGGGAGCCAAAAAAGTGAACGCCTAAAGCACTGGCGCGAGAGTTGACCTGGGTTGCCCTCGGCCAGAATCGAACTGGCATTTCCAGATATCCCAGCGAGTTGAGCTCCTGAGTCATATTTGAATATGAGACTGGCGTGATAGCCGCTACACCACGAAGGCATTTTTCTTGGCTCAGAGTCGGGGGAAACAAGCCTACATTGCTATGGATATTTCGCTACATACATATACCCTAGTGGGGCGCACAATGACAGGCTGCGAAACAAATATGACATGGGGGCAGCCGGCTCTTCAAGAGGTCGATGGCACAGCATGCATGCAGCATTGTTATGCGCCTGATAGCTATACCCAGTACTCCGTACAGCGCGGGGTTGTTGCAATCTCTGCTTCGAAAGATCAAGTACAATCCCGCGAGCTGCTTGAGTCAAGTATGCCAGTCTCGACATCCTCAGAAGCTATATACATTCACGGGAATTGAGGCCTTCCATTCCCAAGGGGTACGTCTATGCCTCAAGGGATTAAACGCGAAACCAGACATGTGTTTAGCTGGATATTCATTCCGGACCAGAAATCAATTATCCAATAGCTACCGTTCGGATCCAATTCTATTAGACCACATCAAGTATCTAACCTCGAAAGCTATAGATTACTTTTCAATCTCAAAATTATTATCCAACTTCTTCTCCATCTTGACTTCATACAATCGAAACATGTGACGTGTAAATGTATCACGTGACAGATTTGCGGCACCCCTGTTGCACGGCGGAAAAGAGCCATAGCAGGGGAAGAATTGCATGCCACCTTTCTTTGGTACTATAGAGCAGAGCTTCATTCAATCGTTGCTTCCGGCTAGATACTTGGGCGAAAGCTGCTACATATCCTCGCTAGTACCCCCAGACCGTCATTCCTTACAGCCGCAGCAATGACACGCGCACAGCAGACCCTTTCCGTTGCATTGCTCGTCACGTCGGTAAGTTGGGCAGCATGTCTATCTTGACTGTATTATAGGCATTCGAGAATGAAAAAGGACCTTACGCTGACCCCCATTTAAACTGTTAGCTCTACCTAGCCCTCTACCTAGGCCTGCTACCTCTGAACCAAACCATCCAAGAGGAAATCATCCCACATGTACGTTTCCCCCTGAAAACAGCCCAACCAATTGAATGGCAGAGGATGCACTGGCTAATCTATTCCAATCTCTCTACAAAGCTCCCGACATACTTCCTTATGGTCCTAGGTTCCTATCTTCTCTTCAGGCTCGGCTGGGGAGTATTCACATTCAACGACGTTCCAGACGCATATAAATCCCTACAAGAAGAAATAAATCAAGCAACCACCGAACTAAGGGCAATGAACGTTGATATAGATTAAACTTTGGTAGCAGACGAAATATTAGTGAAATGCTTGGAATGAAGTGGGTGGATTCATGACGGTCATGGAGGGGAGACATGAGGGGGAACTATCTGCGTCTTAGATAAATTTGTATTTATATGGGTTGCTTCCTTAATTTTTGCGGACATGGGACCTTTTTTTTCATGAAAATTGTTAACTAGTGGCGCTTAGGTGGGTAGATATATACTATAATTATAATTTACATGACTACCTTTTTTTCCTTAGGCTGATAGATAAGCATTAAGGGGAGGTCGAGGTCCTTATTACTGCGTTAGTTGAATTACATATCCTCGGTGGTATGGATAGGGTATAATCTGACCGCCCTTTCGGCGATGTCATGAAGGCGTCTATCGTTCACATAAGACGAAAGAAAATGCTCGATTGGTAGGAAAGGCTATGGTCCAACCCAGATGAACAAATAGAAACAATGAGAGAGAAGTGACAACCATGTAACGTATGACAAAACAAAATCTAGATGGTTTGCTTTTTGGTCATTTATGTAGCTATGAGAGGGTTCTCTTTGGCTAGTCGATCATGCTCGTCGATATCACTAAAATGCAAGGGTAAGTATCCCGGAACAAGCATAGATATATCAATAGGAGGGGAGGGGGAACTAACGTGGCTTCCCATGGGTAGCAGATCCAAACATCTCCGCTCGTCACGGCAGCAAGATATCGGTTCTCGGCAAGCATTTCTGGTGGGAGTTGGCCCTTCTTTGGCTTGTCCTTGTTCTACACAGCGAGGGGGTTGAGTTAGTCCTGTTTAGGTCTTCCATCTTTTTACGAATGATGACGTATAAATGGATGCTTACATGTAGGACAAAGATGGAGAATGTAGTCTTCTCTCCTTGCCGCCCAAGCTGCTTCTGCGCATGCTCAACGTCCTTCTCGAGTTCGCGAACGGCATACTCCAGAGTGGTGCGGGTATCGTCAACTTCGTCAACGATGAGAACATTCTTTCCGATCAGATTGGCCATCTCCAGCGAGCTGAGATCCAGCCATTGCGTGCGTGTGACTTTTGTGCCGGGGACCTCCTCGGGGTCTCCTTTACCTAGATCTTCGTACAGCGAAAGTCCAATGGCCTGGATAGGAATATTTGGGGAATCCTTTTTTTTGAGGAACGATCTATATTGCACACCCCCCTGTTAGATACTGAAAAGGAAACCAAAAAAAAAAAGATGCGTTCCATGGGTCTCGGCTAACTCATATTGCTTCCGTACCTTAGCATTCTTGCGGGGACATATCCTCCTCCACCGATGGCGATCATGAGGTTTGGACGGAATTCCTCGAGGATGCGGCCTGCAGAGGCCTGGCACAGTTTATGCACCTATATATTGTCAGACACATACTAAGCCTTGTCTCGGTTGTATGCTTGTATCGTGTGTGCTGGCTCCTAGCGAGGGTATGACAACGGGAGGAAGGAAGAGATTAAAAGCTGGCTCGCTTTTCGTCTCTCATTTATCTGAAAAGAGGTAGACAGAAGGTATTCCGAGCAGGGACTCTCTCATTCCGTACCTGGTTGTATGTGACGTAGACTTTCTCGACCATCGTGGCTGGCTGATCCCTGGACTAGTTATCTATTGACAGACTGATCTCCTGTGTATATACTCCGTACAACTATGCGCGAGTCTCTTCTATATAAATACAACTGTAACGCATTAGCAAGTCGCTCAAGGAAGGAAAAGAAAAAAAGGTGCACTCCTTGGAGGGGCAAAATAGCGGAGTAGAGGCGCTGGTCGCTTTCGTTATTGCGACAGCTCTATGATTGCGGCGCAGCAGCGAGTCAACGATCTCACATACCTGGCTTGACGCAATATAGCTATTTCCACCCTATTAGCACTGGCCGATACACCGGGTCAAACAGACAGGGTAGAACTCCGTCACCAAGCAAAGTAAGATAATCCCTTCTCTTCTGGCTGTCGCTGTTGCTGGATATGCGACAGCCCGCAGAGGTCGCCGCGAGGGCCTCGAACCTTTTTTTTTTTTTTTTTTTTTTTTTTTTTTTTTTTTTTTGATTGATAAGGGCTCGAGCCCTAAGAAGCTAACTATCTAGGGGACATCGTCATGCCCGCTCGGAATATTTACGACCGCGACAAAGTGACGACCTACAATTGACGACGACCGCGGCGGTAGAGATGAGAGACGAAGCACAGGTCGTTGGGAGACAGACTGTTGGCAGTGATGGCGAAGGAAAAGACCGTACGGGGTACTAGACAGCCAGCAGGTTTGAGCCAGCACAACGGACTTGACGGGGCGTTGAGCCTTCGTCTCGAAGACGACTGTTCATGCCTGCAGGATCGCCAGAGCGCCACAAAGAGATACGAGACGGATAGCCAACTAAGTAGTGGTCAATGCTTTGTGGCAGGCTTCGATGGCGTCGTCGCCAGCCCAGACTGGTATCAAGTTTATACACTTAACAACAAACGCCTGGACAGGCCCAACAGCGGCCGGCGCTGGAGAGCTCAAGCGGCCGTGGGGGTGGGAGAGGGAGAGAGCTTGCTTCGGGTTCTATCTAGGCATATGTGAGCTGGCAAGATCTTCCTCAGGCATACGGAGTAAGCAGGAAGAATGGCTGAGCACCGTTTCCAAGACAAGACGAGGAAGGATGGCCCCCGTATAAACTGATGACTTGAGCTCGATCACAGGCC